ATTTGTTTTTTCTTTCAATGACTGCAATAGAAATATTATATACCATACGGAGGACGTCTACGTGGCCGTGTTGGCTACGTAATATTGTTTTTTCTAACATGGGATTTGTATATTGTATATTTATTTTTTTAAACATTTTTAACGGCATGGGTGCGAATACTGCCGATGCCCATAAGTCGTATTTACGTAAGTTGTGTTGTGTTGTCAAATTTGGTCTATTATATATTTTTTCATATGTGCTCCTTTTCATTTGTATTACTCGATTTAGAAACAATGACTTAGCATGGCAAATACGAGTACACCATAATAACCGACTGGAAGACGTCAATCTACTGGCAGATATGAGTGGATATTGGGAAATCTCACATACCGATATACCCCGTATGAGAGAAGGTCGCGTCGGTGCGCAGGTAATTATCAGTCTGCTTCTGTCATAAGTTCGTTAATCTCGAATCTGTACGTTTTCAGTGACGTCTACAAATATGCCTAGGCACGATGGTCAATGAACGCGATCATTGGCAGCTAGCTCAGCTAATGACCGTAAATATGATTGGTTGACTGAAAGTGACGTTAATCGTAAACTGGGTCATTCGTTTGATTACAGTCCGATAGTAATTTACCTTCCTCACGGTACGGTAAAGCCTACCCACAGCATAAGCCGTTAAATACTAGTACATTTACAAGGCTAATAAGCCTGAGACAAACTGAGCATTGTAACAAGGTGGTTATTGTAGAAGGTCGTAATCTTATTGAAATAAGCTCCTAGTTTTATTTTTATTGTAGAAGGTCGTAATCTGATTGAAATAAGCTCCTAGATTTATTTTTATCGGAGAAGGCGGTAATCTGATTGAAATAAGCTCCTTGTTTTCTTTTTTTCACACTTTTAAAATATGTTTTCAATTAATCATTTTTCATATTATATTTTCATAATTATATTGTTTATTTGCTGATAGCCGTTGAAGTAATTAAAAAATAATATAAACGTAATAAAAAACAAAAGCAAAAACTACCAAATAATAAAATATATAATAAAAATAAAAATACATGAATTGAAATTAAAATACATGCCGTACAATACATCAGATTTTAGAGGTTACAGAAAATGCACACATTATAGACTTATATATAGTCACATAAACGTTCGTTTTAGTACGTGCAAATACTGAACCATCAGTATAATTGCGTGATCTTTGAAACGTAATGGATATTCTGTTTTATGTGTCCATTACAGAATCTCCAAGTATGAGAAAGAATACAGTAAAACAATTGGACAAATTATTTTTTGATCTAGATTGCTTTTCAGTATAATTTTTAGTTCTCCCCTATAGCATGCGTACAAATTCATTATATGCATAATTATAGTAGGCTCAGTTCATGTAAGATTTTTTTTCAAGATTCTCTCTGTGCTGATTTTCTTTGCACACAATCTACAAATTTTCTACTATAGTTTCCAGTTATCAAACCCCGACCAAAAACAAACGTCACTGAACAAGAAGTGTATAATTATTTGAAACAAACTGCAGTAACCAACTTATTCGTGAATAAAATATTGTTGCTCAAAATAGCCTTCACGTTTTGTACCGAATAACAATAATCAAGGAGTCTTAAGTTGAATTTGAACAAGGAAATGTGTACATCGGTCCCTTGAACTAAATTTGTTCAAATAATCTTCACGGTCGAGTGAACAATTTGACCCCGACCACAATCAGAATGTATAATATTTGTCTGATTTAGTACTTGGCGCCATAACATTGGAGTTCAACCATTCTAGCATGTGTACGGAATTTTGCCGTTCTCGATACGCGTTATTTATGACGTAAGATAAGTGACTATAAGCACGGAGGTTTTTCAACTTACAATTTCAACGTTGCAATTGTACTTGTAACGTGGTACTAGTATTATTTAAGGCAGAAGCCTACTCATGATTTCAAATGTCCAAAATTTATTCATTTTCCAATAAATTGTATTTTCGGGCAATAAGAATATTGACTTTAAAAATTATTTTAGTGGATAGTGGCCATTTTGTCAATAATATAACGCTTTTACCATAGGCTACTATCAGGGGGAAATTCTTCTTACCGGGGTTCTCCACACTTGTCAGGGGGGAATCTCGTCTCGTCTCTCTATCGCGTCCCCTTGAGGTATGGGATCGGGAAAGTCACTTATACTTTACAGTCAAATAAGACACGCACAACGAAATACGTTTCAACTCTCGTCTTAGTCGGTCAATCGAGCACTCTATAAGACACAGCGCCCTGGGGAAAAATCCCCAAGACTATCGCAAGGCTGACCCAAGACTAGCCCAAGACTGTGCTTAGACTCGCCCCAAGGCTTTCCAGGACCGCACTACGACTGCGTCTATCGTGCTGTGCTCCCCAAGACCAACTCAAACTCTCTTTATTCATTTTCAAAACTCTAACCAATTACAAAGCAGTAAAAAGACTCTAGCGCGTAACCTTCAATCATAAAGCCAATCACACTAAGTACTGAATACGTCATATCTTTTGATTAATCGTTCACTACATTAATAACTCCGAATACCAACTGTCAGAATGAGTAGTCAGAATAGCGACGGTTATCTCGTAATTAGTTCCAAATCACTGAGCCAAGTTCCGTCCAAAACTTCAAATAGACCTAAACGATGACAGACATAACACAGCAATTCGCTAATAATCAACTAATTAAGTCGGTTAACAGATACGCGAAAACAAATTCATGACACTACCTTGATAAAGATAATATATCTTAAATTGTAGGCTGGTGACATAGGCTAAAAATATATATTGTGAGTGATGGTGTACGTTGTGGTTGTTCTCAATTATTTAAAAAATCTGGGTTTTGAAAAGTGGCAGAAAATGCAATTTTTCGTTAATAACGTGCTCTATGGAATTGTTCTAAAAATAGCAATTTTCAAAAATGTTCGGACAAATTTCTCAAAGAATGTTATATCATAGTGTCATGAGACACTATCTTTCACACGATTTCACACAATAAACTGATGAACTTTGTCATGCAATTCATGACCAACCTTCCCAAAAATTACGAGTAGAATACCTTAAAAATAAACACGTTCAACTAGATAATAATAACTTGACTGTTATGAATACATTCTGCTATTTAGAAACCGTTTTACCAAAAATGTCCACCCCCCCAAATAGGGTTACGAAGGTGGATTCAGAAATTCGGTAGGGGAGGGGGGTAAATTAAATACTGACATCGTTTAAATTAACTACCCAAACACTGATATATTAAAATGTGCATTTAACAAAAGCAATCAAAATGAATTCAAATTAGGTTTAAAATTATTGCGAAAATTCCGGAATTCTATGACTTCTGCTGTATAAGTAGCCATATTAAAATAACTACATATACTAGTGGAAATATAATAAATCGAGCCAGGTTGTGAACGACTGTAGCAAAGGGAATAATCTTAGAACATACAGATTATATAAAGTCAATTTCAGATTTGAAAATTATTTCGATACCATTCATAATTTTTGGATAAATTAGCAAAAATATTATCTGAATTTCACAATCTGGAAATATAATTAAGCAGCAATCCGGAGAACGGGTGAATCACGTGATTTTTTGATACACTTGTAGTTGCATTCTATTTTACCATTCTGTGGTACCCTCTGATGGTATTGTTTTGTAATAAATTTATTATTATTATTATAAATACCTACACAAACCTATGTATGTTTTGACTTATATTCGCTCCAGTTCTGGTCAGCATATACGAGTTGTGATGCCCAGTACAAGGACGCCACCAGTCAAACGCTCGACCAGATTGACGTCATCAGGAGAATGATCAACAAATATCCTAGTACATTTCAATTTGTCACAACATCCGATGGTAAGATTTTAGAGTTTTTAACAGAAAGTGTGAAGCTTCCTTCAACCCCGTCCGCAATCAACACCGCGCACCAAGAACATATCATAATAAACCATCCCGATTCATCCCCCAACTGGGGCACAATTTTATTTTCACATTTGGACAGTAATATGAAACGTAACGCCGTTCTAAAAATACCCTCATGTTAGTCATGGGATTCGTACAGGTACATGTTGACAGCACAAAGTAGATTTAGACAAATACAGACAATGCAGGGGGCAACATTACCTGTTTTCGGTTTTAATGGAATCTCAACAATGTTATCATTATAATCGCAAATTTTACCTCATTTTAAACTTGATACGGATCTTACTGGACCTATTTATTATATTTATATCTAAACAACTATTCTTGCTTAGTATGTTTACATACTCTTGTGATTATGCGGAACTTGGATGTTGCTTTTGTAAAGTTTATTAGTATTCTTCCAAATGAACATATAACCTGCATTATTAGTGCGCACATTCATTGACAATTAAAGCGCATGCGTCCACAAATAAATGACACCAGTGCCAGGGGTTTTCAGCATTAATGCGCAACGGTACTGTGTTTAACTGTTAAATAACGTTACATACATCTTTTAATTACTCTTATAGGTATAATGGAAGCTTTTCGTGATAATAAAATAGCAAGTTTGATTGGAGTTGAAAGTGGTCATAGCATCGACAGTAGTTTAGCCAAACTACGACAATTCTATAATTTGGGGGTAAGATACCTGACACTGACAGGAGATTGCAGTACACCATGGTGAGTATGACACACGTGACCTGTAAATTTTAGTTGGGCGGACTGGGAATGTCAGGGTTGGGCGGATGGATTGCATTTTTGTCGCAATTTGGCAATCAATCATTTATTATTCGTCACTGCAAATACACAAATATACCCCTATATAGATTCTATGCAAAATTACAAGAAAAAACAAAGTACATGTAAATCAAGATATATTACAAATTATTCATTTTTCGCATACTAGTATTGTACAGGAATTAAGACGGTTAAGACACATTTCTCTAGTCACTTATGAGAAGGTTTCGTTGACCACATCATAATATAGTCTGAATATAACACTGTGTAATAACTAATCTTCTAACTTTTTTTTCAAGTTGGTTCCATAAATCAGAATGATTGGATCAGCGGACAAGTGAAAACTATATACTCTCTCCAATTTGTCCACAAATGTTCTGTACATTCACATAAATAACGACTTATCTATGTATTTTCTTATTCAATATAACAGGGCAGATGCTCACAACCAACAAGCAGTAAATGGAGGACTTTCTGAATTCGGAAAGGTAGATATATTATGATTGTCTATTTGTAGATGATAACAATCCGAATGTTAGCGGCGGTCCGTTTATGCAATCACCCACCCGTCATCTAACTTGAGATGGGGATATCATCAATATATATTTTAATAAAGATTTATTTGTATTCGTGGCTTGGTATCAGGCATATATGTTTTACTAATATTTAGTTAAGACAATTAATAAAATAATAATGACGGCGTCACTAACACACGATGTATGACCCCGTGTTATCAAAAGTGTGGCGTTAACATCGATAACATGTGATTACGTTAACACCACGTGTCATCTTATATTCTAGGTGGTTATACAGGAAATGAATCGTTTGGGAATGATCGTGGATTTATCGGGCACACATCCAGACACCATGCGCGACGTATTAGAGATAAGCGAAGCCCCTGTTATATTCAGTCACTCGGCTGCCTATGAGAAATGCAAACATACGAGGAACGTACCCGATGACGTATTACTTTCGCTGGTAAGCCTTCACATAACGTAATTGGACATTGGGTAGGGGGTATTTCTCATAATACGAAATATTCATGCTGCAGCCAGGCGTCGTTTACTAGGAAAATGGTCACTGTAGCGTACCATTTATACGCATACAAATATTTTTGCGACTGATTACCGCGGAAATGTTGCTAAATCAGTACATGGAATTGCATGATTTCTTTGATATAGAAGTACAATTTATAAACCCGGAGTGTTATTAAACCTGCACATTATTTTATTAATTAATCCATATGCTCTATATATTGGCAGAGAACTAACAATGGTATAGTTATGGTGAATTTCAACAGTGACATGATAAGCTGTGACGAAAGCGAGGCAACGCTAATGAATGTAGCAGGTATGTGAATATATGGTTTATGGAGCGCACGATTTTTTTCGGTCGTGAATTCATTGAATTGTACACTTAGAATCTGTGTACATATGCGTGGAAATGCATGCCTCGCGGTGGTAGACTCGATAGACAGCTACAACCAGATATGTAAATGTACGTATTATCACAAATGTATTTTTGTAATCCCAGAGAAGTCATCTGTACCGTCATGGTCGGTATCCTTTTCATAGGGGCCATGACACGAGCGAATTACCTACTCAGCTTTATTCAGGACGCTGTTATAAAGAGCACTAACAATAATAATATCGCCTCATAATCTCACAGAACTCGCTCCACACTGCATTTTTGTTTAGAGGTAGCAGCTGTTTCCGAACGATTGACTGTTCCCTATATATATATATAGTACAACACACATGCTCACCCATGAATATATATTATCTTTGGCAGATCATATAGACTATATTCGAAGAAAAATCGGCGCAACGCATGTTGGTTTGGGCGCGGAATTCGACGGAATCGTAAGGTAGACATTGTCACGTGTATTTACTCCCGGTAATACCTATAAGCGGAGCGAAATGACCACTCAATGCATAGTCACCTATGGTGGTTACAGTGATAGTAAAGTAGTAGTAATAATAATGATATGATTATTTCCCCTGCGCCATGTTAAAATAGTTCGAATGTGTTTCTCTTTGAACTTGAATTCGAACTCAAAAGGCTATCAACGCCAGCTTTAACAACGGATAGCACTTTAATTTCATGTAGAAACCTAAGTTTACATTAGTGCATGACCAGATTATTTTATTCTAACCAAAGCTGTAAGTGTATACCGAAAATGAAAATTACAAATATCGTTGCACTATTGTAAATATCACACAGTGTTTATCGGGGAAACAATGGCACTATAATCACATGACACTAACTGTAACCACCATATGTTACAGTGGTTACAGTGTTTCCATCACTTGAGGCTCAGGTGTTACCAGTAGATTACTCAAACGTCACTGTGATTTCTTGTCTTAAAGGCTCCAGTGAAATCTTTAATTTGTTACAATATTTCATGACTTTACTTAATAAAGTGTCTGTGACATGGCTGCTATTTTAACGCCTAAAATTATACATTGATACATAAATTTTATTAATTTTTATGTTTCTAAGCATAAATTATTTTTTAAGTGAAGAAATGCGTTTTAAACTCAGTCTACGGCAACTTTATTTTTGTGTGTTTTAAAACGAGGCTCCTCAATAGCTTCTCATTTGCATACAGAAATTCCCCTTGTGACGTCAGAAGGGGAAGTTGCTGGGTAGCTTGCATTGCCGGTACGTGTAAATAATGCGAATTTCTTGTGCTGTTTTCTCGTCTTTGACTAAATTGCCACTTATGTACTTGTTCGTCGAGTAAGAATGGACCATAATGAACACATTAGTATCAAGTTTGTTGCATGGCGTTGAGTCAGATGCGAAATATGTCCGTTCTGGTGTAGCTAGTCCGTGGTCGTCACCGTCACTGACGCACGTTTGTACACTGTTGCTGGACCCCGGCACTGGACAAAATCGAATTTGACGTCTGAATCGTCTTGTTATTTAGCAGGTTACTAGACACGTCACTACACTGTTTTATTTCAACGATCGTCTGAGTTAAAAAAAAAACATTCAAAATTATAATAAAAAGAGAACATATTTTGACATTCTAAACATTAAATTATAGTGATCAATAAAATAGAGAAATAATTTAAAAAAACGACAAATCACAGTTACTAAATAAATGACAGCCGCATTGAAATAAATTTGTTGTGATAGATGAACGCATAACAAAAATAATTGAGAGCGGTATCAGAGGTAAAATCTCTTTTCTCTGGGGTTCTCCACACTTGTCAGGGGGAAAACTCGTCTCGTCTCTCTATCTCGTCCCCTTGAGGTACGGGATCGGGAAAGTCACTTTAACTTTACAGTCAAATAAGACACACACAACGAAATACGGTTCAACTCTCGTCTTAGTCGGTCAATCGAGCACTCTATAAGACACGGCGCCCTGGGGAAAAGTCCCCAAGACTCTCGCAAGGCTGACCCAAGACTCGCCTAAGACTGGACTGCGTCAAGGCTCGCCCCAAGACTCTCTCGGACTGACTGCGTCTGTCGTGGAGTATTCG